CCCTCGACATTGAGTCACTATTTACCAACATTCCACTGACAGAAACTGTCTATCACATTTATCAAAATATAGACGAAAACCTAGCGAAAATAGGTTTACTGACGACCTGTTTAAAAGAACTACTACTGAGATGTACACTTAATGTACAATTCACATTTAACCTTGTTATTTGCAGACAGCAAGATGGGATCTCGACTGGGCCCATTCTTAGCAGACTGCTTCATAGCAAACCTGGAGAACGGTCCACTCATATCAACTATTGATAATTTCCAATTGTATGCTAGATATGTGGACGACATCTTTATTATCATCTGTGATGATGGTCACGATCTCAATCAGTTACTGCAAATATTCAACAAATGCCATCCAGCCACAAAGTTCACTCTTGAAATTCAAAACGAATCTAAAATCCCTTTTCTTGATGTTGAACTTACAAGGAGAGCTGACGGAACTTTAAGAAGGTCCATCCAATGGAAACCCACATGGAGCGGCCAACTGACAGGCTTCTACAGCTGGGTACCAATCAGTCGGAAAAGAACCTTAATTAGATCTCTGGCCACTCGCGTCCGACGCATCTGCAGCTCTGATACCATGGAAGAAGAACTGAACTTCCTGAAAGAAACCTTCATACAAAACGGTTACCCATCAAGATTCGTGGACAAAAACATCAAACAAAAAATCCAAAAGCAAGAAACAGCATGTGTGCCAAAAATGGTACTTTATATGAACCTAGACTTCAAAGGAGACCTACTTAGTGACGTCCTTAGAAGGAGAATCTCCACCTCTTTAAGAAGAACTTTCTTTGCAGCAACATTGAGAGTAGTCTTCTCTAGTCGCCCGCTGATCTGCAGAAGCCCAAAAGACAAGATCCCGCACCTGACCACCTCTATGTGTATATATCAGTTCACTTGTTGCTGTTGAGCCAGGTACATCGGTCGTCCAACGCGTATCCTGTCAAAAAGGGTCAAAGAACACTATCCAGCATGGCTACAGAAAGGAAGTAATGGCTGCATAAGGAGTGCAATAGTAGAACACCTCGTCAACACTGGTCATTCCATCTCAACAAAAGCCATCTCCTTCAAAGTAATCTACAAAGTGAAGAACAACCTCCCAAAGACAGTACGATTCCGTCTTCTTTGCATCGCGGAAGCCCTAGCCATTAAGCTAGAGGAACCAGAGGTGTGCATGCAAAGGAAAATTATTCAGTCACTTCTACTCCCATGGTAACAACTGTGTTGATTTGACTTAACTTTTGTTTGTATGCTTACTTTTCTACTTAAAACCCTTGAGTAATTCCGTGTGTTATTTTGTTTCCATGTACACCCTGAGTACAACTCTTTCATTAAACTATTCGTGTTATTACGCAACTCTTCTTTAACAATCGTTTGTGACAACTCATCACTTTTGTTACTACCCTCTTATATCAACATCCAATTCATCTGAACTTACTAATTGTATTTTCGTTTGACAAATTTAATGTACACACACATACAAAACAACCATATATTATTTGCGATTGTACAGCTATGAAAATAAATTCGCCGAAAAGAGACTCTTCGCTGAACTACTTGTCTTCTGCTTACAGTCTAAACAAATTGTTATTATTAAGTTTATGTACAGAAACAATTTTAACACACTTGCAAATTCTACATGATGACAGTTGACACGAGGTTCTGAACTGAATGAACAGTGCTCAGAAAATTACGCTTATATAGTTTTTACATGGGGAGTTCAAGTTTAAACAAAGTAAATGTATGCGTACAATGGAGGGGGAGTTACGTAATAAAGATGAGAGGTGCGCAAGGTGAAGAGTAATTAATAAACTCGGTAACAATGTACTGAGTTCAACACAAACACTGTTCACTATGTTCGCATCATTTGATGTAACTTCCTTGCTCACAAGAATCCTAATCAATAAAACAATCGAGATCATTTGTCAGCAGTCTAATCTTCTCCCACTTCCAGAGTCAGAATTCAAACGCTTAGTGCTAATATGTATACCACAGATGTGCAATTCCAGTTTGACAACACTTTACCGCTATGGGCAGTCCGCTTAGCCCTGTATTAGAAAACATGTTCATGTCCAACCTTGAGAGAACAAAGTTGAAGCATGCACTTGACGAAACAACTATGAAATTGAATGGCTGGAGGCAGTCGACAGGAGGCCTTCGACCTAGGTTTCGTGCTAGTTGGTACTCACCAGTCAGCAAGGTGTATCTGCAAATGCCTTGCAGGAACTCATGTCCCTTTTGCAGTTATTCGAGCTCGCGATTGAGCTGTATTGGGTACTTTTGATTGGACACTAGTTATTATCTACTGCAATGTCTCTGACTGCAGCACTGGGTGACACGGGTTTGAATCTCAGAATGGACATGAGTTCCTTCAAGGCAGTTGCACATGCGTCTTGCTGACTGGTGAGTACCAACTAGCACGAAATCTAGGTCAAAGGCTTCCTGTGGCCGATTGCCTCCAACCATCTAATATCAGCTTTAAGAAACTATTAGAATAACCACTTGTCAAATTTATACAGTAATTGTAACTGACTAATTCATTTCAGGTTAATAATATAACTGATATGAAGAATATATTCTTCCCGACGTGTACCTGAAACAGAAAGAACATTAGTGTTATGTGACCGCACAGCCCATGGAACAACTGCTTGAGGTTGGTCACACATGACTTGTTTGAGGCAATTGTTAGAGTCATGTACGTGTTAAGATAATAACACCAGCTACGGTCGGCCACAATGTGCAGTTTTTCAGGGTCAACCTTTTCTAATCCACATTCCTTCTCCAGAGTAGAGAGTCACCACAACTGGACTGTGAAATGCAAGCCCGACCACCACGTCCAAGTGGCAGCTATCCATCAAGAGGTAGAGGCAGTAGTAGGAACCTAATGACTATTTCCTCCTTTCCCAGGTATTCGCATATCATGTTATAGTCTAGGAAGATATTGTGTCGAACTTACATATGGAAGTTAAGACATTCTATTATCACACAGTCTTTACTTCCACAGTTTTTGTTGTTGTTCATTCTTGTATTCCACCTATTCTTATTTATTTGCCTCCCCTTAATCTTCCATGGGTCATTATTATTATCCATGTGAACGCCCTGGCTGGGCGTGGTGGAGTACGCCTGTAATCTAGCTACTTGGAGGCCAGAGTGCGGAATTTCGCGGGACCGGGAGTTCTCGCATATGGGTGCTAATGTTTTGTGCGTCGGTGGCATAGCGGTTAGGACGCTCGCCGACCATGAACATGGTCCGGGGTTCGATCCCCTGCCGACGCACTCCTTTACCTCGCTAAGCCAGATATAATGCTGGTGAAGAGGAAAGGTTGGGCATGAGGCTAGCAACCTCATCCTGTAAAATAAACACTGCTACAGAAACTTCAAGCCACTAGCTTGAAACCCTATGTTTCACTGGGGAACGTGAAGGAAAAAAAAATGTAAACGACCAATCAATTACTTCCCCCGTACTAAATAATGTGAAGAGAAAATTAGATGGAATTTTGTACAACATGCTGAAACTTCCACATCATATCAAAGATACTGTTTGCAATAAAGCCAATGTTTTTTTTAACTAAGCAGCATTCAATCGACAAGTTCATCCAACAAACATACATTTACGTTAATTCTAAAGTTTACTGAATTTACTTGGTTCTAGTCAGAGATCCATGAAATATGATATGTCAAGCAAGTGTATTGCTAGGCTAAATTGACATGCTGGAATACACTATCCATATCTGAAATACTATCCAGCCATTCACATGAATTATGCTATAGACACTAGTATAATGCAACTACATTGACTCATCCCAGCTTAAAGATAGGGAGTGAATTGGTTGGTGGAGAGTGTTGACTATTCCAATTATTTGGGAATTCACATCAGCCAACGACAACGGACTGCTTGCTAACGAAACCTCACCATGGATTCAGAAGGCTCATTTGGCATATGTCTGCCAACTTACACCATCTCTCGCTTAGTAGAAGTGATATCCGACAGGCTGTCAAACAAACGGCGTGTGTACTGCTCAGCAGTCACTTCACTCTGTCCTCCTTTACACCTGTGAGTAAGATATGGCCCGCATTGAAAGTGGAAGACATACAAAGTCTGGCTAGCTGGCTGTGTTCCATCTCCCGTGAGTGTTAGGTGGTGGTATAATAAGGTCAGCAATGTTGAGGCTGGGCATCAGCCGAGTGCCAAGTAAGTTGGAGCGGAAATCAATCGACAACGAGGTTGTGAAGTTACATCGATTGAGAGAGATGGTTAGGACATGTGTTATGCATGCGTGGTCCAGCCATCGATCACCGTCCTCGACAACGGGCAATCTTAGCTGACTGACTGACTGACATAGGATGGATCAGGTTGGAAAAGAGCTACTGGTGATGGTGGTCAAACCAAAACGTGGCGTCATCAGTCAGTGAAATAAATCCACAACAGTTAGTTTAAACCAGTCAGCCAGCCAGTCAGTCAGGTAGAGAGATGTAGACTTCCTTACTGACTGGTTGGTGTCTTCGGAATGGTAAAAACCAATGACGGCGGCTACAGACAATTCGCTCAAAATCGTCGTTCTCAATGGCTGGTGTAGATGCATTCACTCTTTGTGATTTATAATACCCAATAAAGCTCTATTGTTCTTCCACATAACTATTCTTTTTGCCTAACACACTTTTTATTATCTCTCTCTTTACTTTCTTGTTTTGTGTGCTACAAGGAGTGAGTGTGGCAACTGGAACTATTGCACTCAATCTGTGGAAAATTCTACGTTGAAACCAGTCACTCAGTTAGTAACTCTGTAAGGAAATAAGAAGTAACGGCATTATGGACAAATACAACTGGACAAACTGAATGAACTGAGACTTCACACATACCACCTTCATAAATAAATCAGCTATATGTAATCGATTGCTAAATCGTCTAAATGTAATCACAGTTTGTAGAACATGAAATTCAATAGCCCTGCAGATGCAATAATTCAACAATGTTTGCTTAAACTTTTCCCACAGTTACAGAACAGAACAAAACAAAATAAGAGGCAGAAATCAAAATAAATAAATTACCCACAATATTATTAACAAGACAAAAGGATATCATCTCATATGAAAAGCACTGAATTACAAAAAGCTATTCACAGGTAAAAGTAAAAAGGAAAACCAAGGAAGTAAAACACTAGTACTAGTAAAATAGTAAAATTCAGAACGCATACTAGAGTTGGAGTACACACTTGTTTCTGGCATTAAAATCAAATCAATAAATTAAAAAAAATACACATGTGATGTTTCTTCTTGGGCATAGAGAGAGCAGCCTAGAAATAGTTTCTTTTTTTTAAAAAGGTGCTTGAATAATACACACAAAAACTTGAAAATCACACAGACGGGGGCAATACCTGAAAGCAGTCGTTACAACAGTAATGCTGACCATTAACTGATATCACAAGTTGCAGTTGTTTATAGCGCGCCCACACACACAGAGCTTGTGTTGAAGAAAGCTCATAGGGAATAAGCAAATCGACTATTAGTGGATACATTTTTGTTTTGTTCTTCTCTTTTTTACAAAATACGACAATAGATTCACAGTCTATAATGTTGAAGGAATTATTACACAGATTCTTCTTTATATTCTCTTTACAATCTATATATATATATATATATATATATATCATTCAAATAATAATCGACATTGCAGCAGACAGAAATTGTTCAAAATTAAACTGTGCCCATCCATTACAATTTATATCGAATCGTTTGAACGCATTGGTAAGAATCTATTCGACAGAGAGAGTGAGTGAAAAAAACAGTAATTAAAATAAGGAAATTGAAGAAATGAATAATATGACTTCTTAATTTTTATGAGGGTGTTTGCGTGCTTGAGCGATGTTCAACTCCATCAGTCATAAAATGAATTGAATTAGATTCCTGACGAATAGAGAATAAAATGATCTGTACCAATGATTCCATGAAAAAATGAATGGTCCTCCCTCCATAAGCTACCTAGTACAACCAAGGGTAGACAGACTTCGGGTTTCCTCTAGAAATGCTCTCATGTAGCCTCTAGGAGAAAAGTCCTACCTTTACGCTGTGGGGGCGAATGAAAACGTCTGATTTTTATGGACAAACAGGTGGACATACTGGTTTACCTAGAGAGACTGGGTAACTCTGATTCCAAACGTATGGTATACATGGACTCAAGGATCGGAAACCTAGCTCCTCCAGCTATTCCACTGTCTAGTGGGTCAGACTTCAAACCAACACTCGGGAAGTGACCCCTTAATACAACCACCAAGACCACCACCAGCTATGACTTGGGCATCCAGGCAGTATTCCAGTTCTTGTTCAAAATGAGATTTTGTTTCGCAAGTCTCTTGATGGCTATAATGTACTAATTTTGTGTTTTAATTAATACACAATAGAAAAATAATTAAGCTACAATTGCAACAGTTTTTACTTAAAGGCATTACTGATCATATCTTCACCCTTCGACAGACTCTGGAACATAGGTATACCTACCGTAGGCGCCCAACAATCGTCATATTTCTTGACCTCAAAGCGTTATTCGGTTCCGTCAACTTATAGGTACTATGTCGATGTTTGGCTGTGAAGGGAATGCCGAGAAAATACATTGCACTGATCGAGGCACTCTATCTCTACTCGAACTCATGCAGTCAGCCAGGTGAAAGTTTACGGAGAGTTGTCATCTGAAATGGTGACAACCAGTGGTGTCCATCAGGGATGCCGACTGTCACCATTTCTCTTTAACTTCATCATAAATATACTAATGAAATTGACTCTAGCTGACTTTTGTGACTCAGGGATTGACTTGTTACCAAGGAATAATCTCGTTGGCTTAGAATATGCAGATGATATAGTCCTTCTGGGTGAAGACGTTGACAAAATGCAGTCTTCTGAACATCTTAAGCAGTGAGTAGTTTTAGAATGTTTGGCATGCGATTTGCTCCATCCAAATGTAAGATGCTGCTACAGGACTGGACTACATCGACTGACTCCTAGCTTAAAGATAGGGAGTAAATTGGTTAGTGGAGAGTGTTCACTATTCCAATTATTTGGGAAATCACATCAGCCAACGCCAGCGGGCTGAGCGCTGACGAAATTTCAGCACGGATACAGAAGGCTCATTTGGCATATGTCTGCCAACTTACACCATCTCTCACTTAGTTGATGCGATATCCAACAGGCTGTCAAACAAACGGCGTGTGTACTGCTCAGCAGTCACTTCACTCTGTCCTCCTTCACACCTGTGAGTAAGATATGGCCCACATTGAAAGTGGAAGACATGGGAAGTCTGGCTAGCTGGCTGTCTTGCATCATAGGTGGCTCCTTTCTATCTCCCGTGAGTGTTAGGTGATGGTATAATAAGGTGAGCAATGTTGAGGTTGGGAATCAGCCGAGTGCCAGGTAAGTTTGAGGGGAAATCAATCGATGAGGTTGTGAAGTAACATCGATTTAGGAAGATGGTTAGGACATGTGTTATGCATGCGTGGCCCAGGCATTGCATCACCGTCCTCGACAACCAGCAATGTTAGCTGACTGACTGACATAGAATGGATCAGGTTGGAAGAGTTGGCTATTGGGGGACAGACCAAAACATGGCTTCATCAGTCAGTGAAATAAATCCACAACAGTTAGTTTAAACAAGCCAGCCAGTCAGTCATGTAGGGAGATGTGGACTTCCTGACTGACTGGTTGGTGTCTTCGGAATAAAAAAACTAATGACGGCGGCTACAGACAATTGGTGATATGGCTCAATGGCTGGTGTAGATGCATTCACTCTTTGTGATTTATAATACCCAATAAAGCTAAATTGTTCTTCCATATAACTATTCTTTTTTGCCTCACTCACACTTCTTTTTATTATCTCTCTCTTTACTCCCTTCTTTTGCCTTGTGTGCTACAAGGAGTGAGTGTGGTAACTGGAACTGTTGCACTCGATCTGTGCAAAAGTCTACGTTGAAACCAGTCAGTCAGGTTACTTTAATAGATTTATCAAGAGATACATGAACAAAGTATGCAATAAGCAAGGAAATCAATCACAGTTAAGAAGAAAAAATTGATGATGAAGCTTTAATTTAATTGGATTTCAGCCAGGAAAGTTATGTATCAATGACTGAGTAGAACCCCCCCCCCCTCCGAAGAAAACTTATTAACTCCCTAGCTGTATCATTCTTTATATAGATTTGCAAATTTAACTGCTCCTATGGAGAAAAATATAATAGGGCGAAACACTACGCAAACTAAGAAACATTACTGATCATCTTCCTCCATGATTGAACAATAAGCAACTAAAAGCTCAGTTATGTTTCATTTGTTGGTGTTAGATGGCTGGAAGAAGTCGGCAGGAAGTCTTAGACCTAGGTTTCGTGCTAGTTGGCACTCACCAGTCAGCAAGGCATATCTGCAACTGCCTTGAAGGAACTCATGTCCCTTCTGAGATTCGAAACCGCGTCACTCAGTGACGCCTGTTGTAAGAGACGTTAACACGGAGCAGTTATTCCGGCTCGCCACTAACCTCCTCTTTTGTGACTGTATTGCATATTTTTGATAGGACACAAGTCAGTAACTAGTGTAATGTGTGTGTGTCCAGTCGTATCTTTTTTGCAGACTGAATTCTATAAGTCAAGATTACAATGTGGCCATCATGCCACTAGGTGGCTCGCCATCACAGTGCAGTTTGAACACGATACACTACACAAGTTACTGACTAGTATCCCATCAAAAATATCCAATACAATCTTACAGGATGTCAATGGCGAGCCCCAATAACTGCTCAGTTGTAACACCTCTGACTGCAGGCATCACTGCGTGATGTGGGTTCACATCGCAAAAGGGACGCCAGTTCCTGCAAGGCTACAGATACGCCTTGTTGAGTGGTGACTGCCAACTAGCACGAAACCTAGGTCCAACGCTTCCTGTGGCCGACTGTCTCCAACCGTCCAATATAAACAATTCACAGTGAGCCGTTTTGGCGACCTATCTAGTGGTATGGTGGCCACACTGCAAACTTAGACTGATAGAATTCCGTCTGCACTAGTTACTGACTTGAGTCCAATCAAAAATTTATTTCATTTGGTTGGTAGTGGCCAACAAGTCGACAGAAGCGGCACTTTTGTATTTTACCGAATCTGTCCAATAGAATTCCAGTTCCTCTTTAACACTTAGACAAAATTATGACAATTCACGAGAATAAACTTAGTCTGCAGTCCTAGATACGAAAATATGCCCGACATTCGTCTGTCACATTAAAACTTCCCATTGCTTCTTTTTGATTATTCATTCCTTTTTATAAATCTATATTTATTTAAAACTAAGCATTATGTAACTTCATTGTCCTAAGCACCTTCTTTGCTTTTAGATCTAAATAAATATTTGTACAAATGGGTGACAGTATAAAGGTGCTAAACATACTAAAAGACAACTTAAATCTTCATGACACTGAATGAAGTTGACTCTGTTATGACAAGTGAGTTTCATCAACTGGTTGACTGAGTTTCAACACACAACATCTCACAGGAGTGCACCAGTTCAAGTTGCCACACTTCATAACCACATAAAGGAAGAGAAAAGAAAGAAAAACCTGATTCAAAAGCAATGTTATAAGCAGAAATGTGCGAGAGAAAGAGAAACATGGAAATAACATGACGGTTTAATGGATATGAGAGGTCACAAAGAGTGAATGCATCATTTGAGAACTATTTTGAGCCGTATCCCCAACAGTCTCCAGCCACCGCTTCTTAACTTCCGGAGGATGCCCCAAACAGGCACTCTACACCCCTTCCCAATGTGGTTGGCTTTAACTAACAATCAAAGATTTGGTGGATTGATTCCAGGTTTCTGTTTGACTACCCCGAACTTTTGTCCATTGTGATCTTTTGTCAGCTAATATTGCACGTCGACGAAGGCGGTGTTTCAGAATGCGCAACACGTGCCCTAGCCATCTTAATCCGTGTAGCTTTAAAACTTCATCGACAGACTTGTCCTCTTTACGTAACATTCTACGCCCAACCTCAATATTACTCACCACATTACACTACACAACACAGGAGATAGAACATGGATACCTGTTGTATCTTTCACTTTTATGAACATGTCTCACAGCCATGAAAGACGAAGGAGAAAACTGCTGTGCAGCAGACAATTCCTTTGATAAATAACCGGAAATCACGTCTACAGTAGAGATGACGTAAGCCAGCAAATGCCACATGAGCCCTTTGTATTTATGTTGAGATTTCGTCTGGAATCAGTCAATTGGGGCTGATGCCATTTCACTCCGTATGTTTAAACCGGGAGTTGGTGTACTCCAATCCGGTAGCATCATCTTTTATTTAACAGAAGAAAACCGCAAGCCAAGCATTTCAAGATTTCTGTTCAAGGTGTTCAGAAGACTCTGCATTTTGTCAGAGTTTTCACCAAGGAAGACAATACAATCCACATACTCTAGATGGACAAGACTGATCCTTGGTAACAATTCAATCGATAAGTCACTTAAATCACTCAGGATCAATTCGATTAGTACATCTATGATGAAACTTTAGCCCGTGTAGGGTGCCTTGATCAGTGTGATATACTTTCTTGGTACTCCATTCACTGCCAAACATTGCCATAGCACCTCTCGGTCAACTGAGTCGAATGCCGCCTCCACGTCAAGAGTTTAACCGGTATACAATTTTCAGATAATAGACGGACAGACATAAGTAACAATTTATCATTATCCTGATAATCAGAACTGGCAAAAATATCTTCGTCCTAGGACCCAACTAAACGTTAGATTCTGACTAGGTATATATGATCAACCTGAAATCTACTTAACTGACCTACTTCAGTCTTCTGATAAACAAACTCTAATACGCATATTGCTACTTGTAGCCTAAAACAAAAAGAAATCTGTATTAACGAATTACTAATAACTAAATAACTGTACTATCTACTGATTTTATCACAGCTACTACTAATAATCCCTATTGCATAATCATCCTATTAGTGCTTTTTTCAAAAACGCGCATAATCATTGTATAGCTTCTTTTTATAGGACATTAAGCACATTTTTGAATTTTCATTACATTGCTAGACTGTTAGGATGAGTCCTTAAACATCTACTGAATATTTGCGAAATATAATTACTTAGTGATTTGTCAAGAACGAATGGAAATGTGTCTTCCTTTGTTGACTTTTTTAACTTTCTAGTCTTACTCGTTTTTTATCATGCATTATTGTGTCTAAGCTTTTCTGATCAACCAATGTCATCTTTTATCATTAAGACTTGTGTTGCTTATACGCTCCAGCAACAGTTTCGGTACTAACTCTGAGATGACCAAACACGTTTAGTCTTTATGACAAACTATCATGTTTTCCCACACACTTCTGCTTATTACAATTCCTTAAGTCCCTTGTTTTCTCTCTTTTGTCTAACTTTGTGTGCTGCATAGAGTGTGACAACTTGAAAAACCGCAGTTCTGTGCAACCTTCTGTGTTGCAATTCACTCACTCAGTCAGTCAGTCATTACTCAAGAAATAATTAAGGCCCAAAGGACAATCGGTAGAAAGGCTTTCATGTTTTAAGGCTTTTGACAGTGTAACACACTATTACACACCGATAAAAGACAGTAAAATTAATAATCTGACAAACTTACTTGGAGACATACACAAGCATAAATAAAGTCATCAAAAGCAATTTGCCCACATTTATTGCGATCGAATCGACCGATCATCATTTGTACAAAAGCAGGAGAAAGTCTATAACCAAAGGAAGATAAGGCCCATTGAAGTTCTCGAGAATCTATACGTCCAGATTTATCTTGATCATATCGACGAAAACATTGTTGCCAATCTTGAACATATCTGAATAAATGCGTAAATTCATTTACATCGATTGTTCCATTTCCATCTCTGTCGAACATTGAAATCATCAACTGGACAGTTCGTATGTTGAACGTTGTTCCTATACCTTTAAGAAATGAGTAGATAAAGATTGAAGACCTTTCATTGAAGAGATAATAATATTGCACTTACAAGTAGTTTGACAAAGAATACATAGGTTACATTAAACAACCCACTTTGATTTGAATATTTACTGCAGTTTTACCACGAAAATAACAAGCAGTCACTCCGAACTGGATTCAAAACTAGCTACTAACTCTTTCTCACAGAGTATAGACAAATACTAGTTATACGCACAAGCCGTTATGAAGACAGAGGATAAAGACACTTGCGGTTTAGAACGTATAAAATTAAACATTACTTACGTGAGGACTGTAGAGTTTGGTGGTCACATGTATAAGATGAAGTCAACAGACACATCTAGGAACCGTCTGGAGTTATTTCAGCTCATCTGGGAATCCGACATCCTGCGAGCATCAAAAGTATGCTCACAAAGTTCCAATTAAGTTAAGATGAGCGAATAACCATATTTGGATTCTGCATGTGATACAAACATAAAACAAACTTATGACCATATATCCTATGACACTAGCAAGCTAGTTAAGTAGGCAAGGTTCCCTGGGACCCTACATTGGTTAAGGTTGACCCATATATTAAAACAGAACGGCTTGACCTCATTCTCGTTAACTGAGACTAGGCACAAGATGATAATGGAATCACCTCAGACTGAATCAGACATGTTAGAAATTTAGTTACTCTGGTGAGCACCTTCTTGCCACCATATCTGCACACTTTTGGAGTTGAACGAACAGGTTTAGCTAGCTTAAGGATCGACATTTAAGCCTAATTCAGGTTGAATGGAGTCTTAGACGATTACAGTGTACTAGCAAGCCAGGTGATTTTCTAATTTACGTGCTCTACCCGAAATAGCAAATACTGATTTAGCATAACTTTTGCATTGTGGCTTCAAGTAATTGAATAACTTCACGACTTTTTCCAAATACCCGAAGCAGTGGCAGCCAGTTAATAGCATAATATGACAGCTACTTAGGTAGGAAATCCTGGTCACCCTAGTTTTAACTTCATTTCACTCATGACTGTCTATTCTAAGGTTTCAGATTCTTGCTTAAAAGACGGTGACTAGATAGTGACTTAAGGCCGATTTAGTTCCAACCTAACTTTAAGACGATTAATAATAGTTTAAGATTGACAGAGAAGAGACAACTCGGCATTCATAGCGTGACAGAAGCCTAAGATTACGCCATTTTTTATTTCAGACGCCTAGGTCCTTAACGAAACAAGCCTAAAATAAGAATGACTATATTGAAAACTGTAGTGTACACTACTGTCACTTAATCTGGAAATCAACACTAACTGAATTGAATTTGTTCCGTGGGAAGCTTGCACAGCATTATTCAAATGGAATATATGTTATCAGAGTTAATGATTAGTACTAACAACCAATAAATTCATAGCACAGAGCATACTATACTTTGAGATGACTACTATGAAGCCTGGTCAGGTGTGGTCATTAAAACCTGTGATAATGAGCGCTGCGTTTCATGCGCGGGAGAATGGAAGCACTGAATTACGGAAGGTATTGATTGAATCGAACGTCGACAAGTTTGATTTTGTCGACTTATGTGAACTTTCGTGGTCACGAAACCCATACCAAAATGTATGAGCTTGTTTGGGATATCTAGGAAACACATAACCCGTTGCATTTCTTTTCGACAATCAGTTGTTTCAAGATAAACTATCATAGCCAAAACTACAGTGACCCTGAACAACTAATCAGCATTCGGATACAAAAAAGTAGCTTAATCGTTGAGAAATACACTAAAAATACTGCAAAACTGATATCACACTGTACACTTGTAGCTTATGTATCGTAGGAATGTCGTCCAGTCAAAACACAGATGACCTATGGAGAAATCGTACCATGTGCGATATACCCATTCATCCAAGTGACTGTAGGTCACGGTACTATGAGATCCACTGATGTTTCTGACACTATTCTTCAACATACTCCCAACTCTAACCATAATCCCAACTTTTAACCCTAATTTTAGCGCTTAACCTAACTTTAACCCTAGAGCTTAAACCTTAATATTAAAAGCCATAACCCTACCTAACAGGACAGATTTACAAAAAAAGTACCTAGTAAATAATTAGAATGCCGTATCTATCGCATTAAAGTCCAAAAAGGCAGATGTAATTTGATTTGGAATGACATTCCATATCATTTCTTTGTCTGATCGCTCATTGTAGGTCAACTTTCCAAAAACCACTTTGACTATACTACTTTTACTTCGCCCGAAACTGTAGTAAATTCAACCAACAGATAACGGAGTAATAACCCGGGAATAATCAAGTTTCTCAACTACTGACCAGGTATTTGATGTTTCTGTCAATAAATAAACAGTACTAGTTTATCCTACGTAGGAGTGGATAGGTAAAGGTATGCTGCAGGAACCTATGGCCATGGAGACACATATCTGCCACATGCATCGGAAATGCGACAAGGATTTGCAAACAAACTGTGCCTATATTTACCTACTGAAGTACTAATGTCCATGTCAGCATTATATTCAGGAAAATGATACATACTGAACACAATAATGCACATACCATTTGACAATGCCATTTGTAGCTCCGTGTCATCCACATATCCATTCCTGTTTCGATCTACCCTGAAATTTTCAATGTACACCTTAAGAAGCACAAATACCTTTCGAATATCTGCCGAACCGTTTGTTGATTTTGCATAGCGTCAAGCGGTGTGAGATGTAACAATTGTAGATATACTTGATATAGTAAGATGTATCAGTAGCAGAAGACAGAGTCTAAAAAGGGTAGGAAACATGATCTAATAACATGAACTACACTTAAATGATAGAATTACGAAGTCTGAGTCTAAAACCTCAACTCACCCTACCTCGTTAATTCTGACAACCTGCTAATAGACCGCCTAAGTTGAGGTCATGTTTGACACAAATACAGAACAGATCATTCAAAATTCAATGTCTGATTTAGCAATTCACGCTTTCGCTTCGTGTTTTAGAAGTTGCCATATGGAAATTAAGTGATACAAATTGATATACTGCATAGATTTCTTAGTATGCAGCTTTTGGCATTTCATAGTCTTGAGTGGAAGCCATGAATTTTTGCAATCATTGTCCTCCGAAGCGTACGACAGCCCACAGTTGTGTTGAGACGCGGTCCAGCAACACTAGAAAGAGCCTGTCAGTGAGCTGTTGACTCAAACAGCAGGCACGATCTTTGGGCTACTTCTCAATTTCAGTGTATGACGGCATTGTGAGCACACAATAGTGACCTCCATCGACAGGGAAGAATCTAGAAACTTCCTTAAGACTTCAGGCCTATAAGTCTTAATGTCACCTTTAAACTGGAAAAAATAGTTAAGAAGGCTATCATGGTATATTTAGAGAACAAAAATTTGTTATCTAACGCAGTACAGTTTTCAGAGAAACTCCTTGTGTTCGACAAACTTTCTTATATGGGGGAGCTGGGTCAAACTTAGTGACAACGTGAAATACACAAACTTCAGCAAAATTTTCGTCATAAAGCCTCATACAGGGCTGCTCAGAAAACTGAAAAGTTGCAGAATCAAAGGCTGCCTACTTGCCTGGATCAGCGAACACTTAACATGCGGGAGATTAAGAGTTGGGATCATTTCATAACTGTGTTCCTGGACTACGGTATGTGCGTCCCTTACTAAGCTCTCTCTTATTTTTCAACGAATTATTGTTTCAACAGATTATGTGGGCTGATAATATCTCCAGGGGTTATTAAAGCAGACGACACAAAATTGCGGAGAGGGCTAAAGGATGATATACACATGCATACGTTGCCAGATCTCAACAATTTTTCCGACTGATTCAATCAATAGATGCTCTCAGTCTACATGGTGAGATGCGAAATCATGAAAACACAGGGATCTAGGACCTGAACACTATGACACACTGTCAAATGGTGGCAGTCCTCAGTTGTAGATCCCTATAAGCAATGCATGAGGCCTTCATTACACTCATCAATGAAAAGTTCACAAGTGTACGCACATGTCTGATGAGGCCAAAAATAGAAAAATTCATCCTTTTCTTGATGTTGACTCGAAAATTCTGGAAATTGCTGGAAAGAACGTCACACACATGAACATTTATACGGCTTATTCATCATACGACGGAAGGCTTCCCAATTCGAACCTCTTCTCCCTGTCTAACTACAGGGAGAATATTTCATCATTATTCTCAAGATTAAAGTAAATGGCTACAGATCTGATCAATTCCCTCCTGTCTCTCTACCACCTCTAAACGTTTTAGAGGGTATATCAGGAGTTCAAGAAGAATTATGTCACTGAGAAGCGTCTTTTGTCCCATCGAATTACAAGAACTTGGGATTTAATAACAGTAGTAGTGGTTACAGAGACCCTCCATCAACTTGTTCAAGAGGCAAAAATATAAGTACTTATGAGAAGAGAAAGACCACAGACTGGAAGCCTTCCATCTTCAACCGAGAATATGAATTGTTTCATGATCTGTCTGTGAAGTGAAAACTTTTGTGACCGCTCTGCGAGAAAGATAGAATAGTAATAAAAATTATTTATACAAGGGAAATGTTTAATCTTCACTGATAGGTCTGTTTCTTAACAAGAAATAGTTGTGTCAGTATTTAGCCAGGCCGTTATGCGTTTTTTGCACAGATGTGATATACCAAATCAAAATGAATCAATTCTGAAAATAGACATCTTGAAGCCGATCACTATGCAGCAATTTTATAAAAGCATTAAAATAAGTCACATATTACACATTGTCACTAAAGCATTATAGATTTATGCAAAGACATCATTAGAGTATTTCAACTACGTCTTCTGTGGCTAACAATATTCTGCGTGCAGAGTTTTAATGCAGCACCGGTCAGGAATCACTGGATTTTGAAGGATTGTAGGCGGTATCGAGAATATCAATCATGATTTGTTTTCAACAACCATTTCAAAGACAGTTCGCGGATTATTATGTTGACTTGTGAAAACGCTCTACTGTGCGTTCAAACTTACACATTCACAAGTGATCGGATATCCAGCTATGTGAACAAAGTTTCTGAGATTCTGTAGCGCTTCAGTGTAAAGCGATTCAGAGTGCTTCTTCTATATTATACCTAGTGTTCTACAAAGCAAATATTTCCGATGGAAGGAAAATACTTTTGAAAAGTCAGCAGCCTGAATCTACACTATATTCCATGTTGGGTGATAATCTTCACCATTTTAATTTACTGGTTGGGCTGAATGAGGCTGGACAGCGAGTGGAATGTTACTGAGTCAATTCCGGTTGCTCGTTCATGATCACCAGTTTTCGTGGCTTCGGTTACGAAAAACTTTTATGGATAATTTTGCAAATACAATTGAGGTGAATTTAAAAAGCACTGTGTTCAAATGATCCGTCTTCCATTCAAGGAATAGTCCGAAACTAATCTGTCTCAATCGATATGAATAAATTAGTAAATGCCCATGTCAACCTCTAGATAGGCCTTGACGTCAGCACCTACTAAGCTTACTTTCCTCGGTTAACCGTGATCAGTGTACTACCTACCGTGTATATACTGATGGATGAAGTCCAGGTAGAAGACCTATGCACTGTTGTGAGCTCAGATGAATTATACTTATATAACAAGCGAAAAATCAAAACCAGCATGTAGCAATAGTATACAACTTAACTGTTGACAGACTGGGGTAGCAAGCTTGAGGAGTGCGCCTAATGATAGCACAACGAGGATTGCTCTTTATGAAGACGACTTTTTTTACACTTTTTGTATCTACCACGTTTTTAAACTCTGTACTGATACAGGTCTACGTGCTACGCAATTATGGTGCGTGGAGAGCCACTGGTACCAACACCTTGCCCATGTTGAGATATCGGAAAAGTGACTCAATAGCCCTAAGTCTTCGTCCAATGCTTCTCTCCTCCACTCCCTCAGTATGCACTTTCAGCACTAAATACAGCAAATATACCAGAGCTACGGAAAGAACTAGGCACAATAAAAAATGGGAGAAGAGGTTAAGACTTCAAAAGTCCATAAAATTACTACGGGAACTTGGGCAGAATAAATGCGAGGAAAGCATGAAAGTTACCCAACAGGTTGAAATAAAGCAAAGGAAATTGTTAACGGTACGGAAATCGCTGAAAGTTATGGGACAAAGTGGCAAAAGAACCAAAAGTGGTAAGTAGTTACAATAGGTAAAAAAATGCTGCGAGTTGGATAATTGAAATGGCGGAAACAGGCGCCTAAAAATGCGATAGCCCGTGCAACTGTGCAGAAAGTTTTTTACATTAATATTTTATTAAGTATTTTCATCATATTTCTACAAGTTCTTTATACATGGAGAGTAAAGTTTGTGGATTCTTTTTAGGTGAATGTGAGCAGAGAAAATCGCAGCACTATCTGTAATCCTGTAAAGGATGGGAATCACGAGACGAAATAAAAGCTAACATCTTGAACCGGTTTGGCTGGGATTCAAAATAAACCGTGATAATTGCTGTAGAAAATCTGAGGGAATTGATTCGCATTTAAAAATGACACTAGTCCTCTGTAACAAGAAAAATCAAGAAGATTAGTATCAGGAAAAACGACTACTGATACAAACGAAACCAAAAAGACTAATTATTACGAAGAATAATTACAATAACCTGTCAAAATAAATGAAAAGCACTACATAATATTGATCATGGAATCATTAGTTAACAAATTCTGCGTATCGCTTAGGCCAGTACACGCATCGACCTATGCGTGTAACATGTGTTTCGGGTGTTGCAGCAGAACTACTAGGTGTAATAGAGGGTTCAATTACGGTACCTGGCTAAGAGTTGGACGCAGGAGAAGTTGAGGCACTAGCAGGACAGGAGGGGAGCAATTCTCCTATGTAAGTCGTCTTAAGTCTGTCTAGACTTACTGTTTCGTGGCGGCCAAGTCGATCGATGACGACGAATTTATTCCCTACTAATAAGTTTGAAAGGTCCATCATATGAGGGATTGTAAGGGTCGACTTACGGCGCCGCAACTCACGAGAACATAGGTGCAGTCCTCAAGTCTGGCGTCTACATGCACTTTCTTGTACTGAGTGCGAGTGGAAGTTGTTTGGAGTTGTTGCATGATGGGTTTTACATGCTGAGCACAACAGTGGACATCAGCAACACTTGACTCGGTATCGTCTAGCGAAATAATCTCGCAAAGAAAACTGAGTGTGGCTCTATACACCAACTTGGCTGTGATGCACTGAATATCAACTGTGAAGGTTGAACGGATGATAAGGATGACCAGGGGAAGAGACTCTGTCCACTTGGTTTTATCAACGGCCATTAGCTTAGCTTTCAGCTGGAGGTGAAAAACTTTACTAGTCCGTTTCCAGATGGATGATATGCTGTTGTTCTGATGCTCTAACAGCCTCTTAAAAGTTGTTGACTGTAATTGCTACCCATGGCCAGTGGTCAACATAAGTGGGCATGAAATTTGTGTGACCCATGTTTCCATGATCACATCGCAGATAGTCTCAGCCGTTGCATCCGCAATGGGAACAGCTTCTGGCCAACGAGTAAAACGATCGACTTAGGTGAGCAAGTATGCGGAGCCATCAGAAGTGGGCAGTGGACATACGGTATCCAGATGGACATGACTGAAACGGGTATCAGGTGTTGAGGATGGTCCAATCGGAGTGATATTATGTTTGGGAACTTTAGAGCGTTGTCATCTCATACAAGCACGCTCCCAGTTGCGCGGTTTATACCAGGCCACACAACTATAGCAGATATCTATTTGTCTGCTGCGCGTATTCCTGGGTGTGAAAGGTTGTGAGGACCGTCAAATACAGTGCTGCGTAAGGACATGGGAACCATAGGTCGAGGAGTGCCTGTAGACATATCACGTAGTATAGTTGCTTCACTATTGACAAAAGGGACATGTTCTGTCCTCAGGGATGTTTCTCGTGAAAGCTG